AAAAAAAAAAAAAAAAAAAAAAATTCTACAATAAAATAATAATACTGTAATATTAAAAAAAGAAATCTGTTAGTTTCTTTTCTCTCTCTCTCTCTCTCTCCACACCTTGGGTGTGTGGTACATGCATTTCATTGTAAAATAAGTGAGCTATGAAGACCATCAGTGGAGGAAAAGACTGCTGTTGTATGAGGCAGTAAGCTAATGTCAGGAGAGGCTGGATGAAGGATACCATTAAGTCTGTGTTTCCTGCCTATAACACACTCTCTGAGACGTCTCAATGTCATGTCTGATTTGGTGAACGTGTTAACGGCACACGCTGGAACACGGTTTTATTTCTGGCTGACTGGATTTATTGTTGAAGCTGTTTTTTTTCTTGTCTTAATGCAGCACAGCTGCTTCAGATTTAATACCAGTCAGTTAACATCAACAAGGATATAGCAAAATAGCTGAAATTGATAATATTTCATTCTGATTTCCTTTTCTATTTAAAGTCTGTCTAGTATCATATATAAGCCTAATAACATCAAAGCAAAGAGGATGAAAACAACCTCTTATGGCATAGGCAAAGACTTTATAAGTATAAGTGTGTGCTACCTTAGAACTGGTGACTTCGTTCTGCTGAATCAGCACCATGGCACTGGCGATGAGCGCCCCCTGGCGGACATAGTTGACTGGGTCGTTTGTCATTGGTTCCAACAGGGCAATGGCATCCTGGGAAAACAAACAATGTTTATAATTAAGCATGGTATAAAAAAAAAAACATTAATGATAACAACCCTATGAAACCTTAATCTTTGGAGTTTTTGTGTGGATTTGTTGAATTCCCAATAACAGCAATAAAATATGTAGTTTTTAGGATTAAATGAACTGGACAGCAAAGCAGAGTGACAGACAGATGTGTCAAACAATGAAAGTACCAGATATGACACAGACTTGATCAGGACATACAATGACACATACAGTGTATGCATATAAAATACCATATTCACCAAAATACCAAGAACCAAAGAAAATCTTCAGGTATACCTAATATAACCAAATTTAAAATTTATTAATAAATATTAAAACAGCATTTACTCCTAGTAAGGTAATATAATAATGATCAGATTTCATTACAAATCCCTTTTCAGGCGTAATGTTTTTTAATCAGCGTTATCAGCATATCATGAACTAAACAGCATTTAAATATTAAATAACAACATTCCTGTAGGTTTCAACATATCAAAAGAAGACTGCATGGTTCTTGTTTAAATGAGAGAGAAAGTTTAGCCAAAGTAGCAACTCCAATGATGCAGCTTGACAGGCATTAGTTGAGGTCGACTTCAACTTGAGATCCCGGAAAATTTCAAGTAATTCTAGGTCACTGCAGAGATGGGTTTTCAAAATGCCAGATATAAGATACCTTGTTAAATGAAAAGAGTGAAAATCATCAGGTAAAACAGCAATGAAACATGTTTGGGTGTGAAATATTACATTGAAAATAGTACGGGCAACAAAATGATGTATTGATATGTCAGAAGAATATACCTATATTTCAGAAAACTGTGGCATGAACAAGCGGTAAAACATTAAAACATTGCAATATGTACAAAGAATAAGACAATCTACATAATTACATAAACAATAAAAATGAATAAACATAAATTAATCTGGCTAATGTGATAATCAATGTAACCAAAAGATCTTTCATTCCTCTTATTATTATTTTTTAATAATTTTTTAAAAATTTATTTTAATTGTTTAGGGGATAAAGAAAGATGACTGAGGAAAATTTGTGATTGTGGATCTGAAAACAAAAATCTTGTTACTGTCCCGCTATGCACCCCATGTTGTATTTACTAAGTGAACGTGCTTGTAAACAATTACAGAACACTTATTGACAGAAGCAATTTGTATCCAATGATCCCCATAAATCTGAAACAATTTCATAAATAATGAAAACTGATCATCACCACAAGCTTATCTGTTATATGTCTAAGATTAAAAAAAAGAGGAAAACATAATCACAACTGGCACAGCTAATACTAAAGCTGTCAGCATGAAAAGGTGTGATAATCCAATAATCTACTGTACTCAGGAATAATTTGTCAACCTCATAATAGAAAAACCAAGGTGTAAAAAAGTTGAACTTAAGTTTACTCATCCTATTTAAATGTATTCTGACATGCCCCTGGTTTGAACCCAAGGAGAAAGGAGAGGTGAAGGAATTGGTACTGAGTTTCTCTGCAGGCAATTTTATTTTCAAATCATAAAGCTTCTTTACCAGATTTCTACTTGCTTTTTTTTTCTTAATAGTGAGGAAAAAATTGTTAACTATATCCTGTCAAATATATATACCAGTATGTTCCATGCTGTTTCCTTGTTCTATCACACAATGGAAAAACAATTCTGATATTTCTTTTCAAAATCATGTTTACGTAAATAAATGTGGTTACACATTCATTGTTTACAACCAGAAGATACTGTCCATGAAATATGACAATAGCAGTAAATAGTGCAAGTGGTGAAACCATCATAAAATTTTTCATCTAAAATAACAAGCATTTAAACTGCCCTAATTGTTTATAGTCCATTTATGTTTTAAAAGGAAATTACGCTCATTTCTTTTTTTGACCCAGAAATAATGAGGTCATACACATAAATGTTCTTATAAACCACTTGTTAAAGCACATTGCTACAAACCATGACAAATATTGATACATTTGGTATCATTGTCACCTTGATGTCTGGCAGAACCTTTATCAACAGAGAATATTTTAGAAGGATAATTATCACAAACATTTAAAATAAAGAAACAGAATAGGGCAATAAAATCATATTGTAAGTCTATTGCTGATTTGATGAATTAACTGATAATTTTTTCTTGCCAATTGCCTGCCAGAAACTTAATCAGCAGCAGATCAACTTTACTGTGTCTGGATAATAGAAACAAGCAGGTAGAGCAGTTGTTGTAAACTAAATTTTACAATTCCTTAAGGTATTAGTTATTTTGCCAAAAGACAAACACATTTAATTTAGCATTAGACAAAGCAGCTGGTTCTTGAGATGGTTTATTATGGAGAAGTTGGCCACAGTGCAGTAATGAAGAGCTGAGGTATAATAGTGTCTGACTGTGCTGTTTACCCTATATGTGTGTGTTTGTCTAGGAGAACACGTTTGTTTGCGTGTATGCATTCAATATACCTGTATGTGCAGACAGTGTGAATTAGTGTTAAATGAAGACGTGTCTGTGGCATGTGCATTCGTGCACGTGCAGTTGTGTGTACAGAACACACACACATAGCTATATGCAAGCATGCATGGTGAGGGAGTCCATAAAACAAAATATATTAAACGGTTTAACCGACAATCATATACATGTACAACTATTCCAAATAAATGTAGTTAACTTAAATGCAAAAAGGGAAAGAACTCACAAGAAAAAAAAAAGAGAAAAAAATCACTTTCCACTTACAGTTATCCTCTTTGGGGCCTGTTTTACAAGATAACTTTTAGAGCCAATTTTACCTTTCAAGACCAATCAGCAGAAGTCAAGTTAATCAAAACACTACAAGTTTTATAGCAAAGAATACATAGCTAATATTCCAGACCAATATTCACTTATATCTTCCGCTATGGAACTTTCTTGTAATAAAGCAGGCCAAAGTTTTAGGGCTAAAGTTCTTTTGGACATGAACTCAGTCCTAGATCCATGGAGTCAAATGTGAAAGGCACAATTAAGGGCCACTTCCTGCCGTCCACACCTTTACAGGTGTGTTCTTAATCAAAGGCTTGGCTTGACCACATGGTCTAAATGGGAAGCACACCTTGTCATGCCATACCTGGACAGTACCAGGAAATTGTATTCAATTAAATGTTGTTTCATATTAAGAATATCATTTATATCTTTTCCAATTATAGTGAATTATTGGAATATCTTATCAACATCTCTACTGTCCGTTTGACTTGTTTTTGTTTATTCTGTTACAAATTAATAAAATTTAATGGAATCATGCTCTGAATACAAAAGAATAAAGAGTCAGAAATACCAATTTGCACTTTAATTTTGAAATTCTGAAAAACCGAAGAAAAGGACTCGTTAACATATACATTGTTTCAAAGCACCATGAACTGTCACAAATAAAAGAACCCATGCCTAAATAGCTGTTCCCAATTTCTTTGAAAATTTTCATTTATTTAACACATACATCAATTCACTGCTTAGGGAATCTGAAAAAATTATTATATTGTGGTTGGTTAGCATTACATCTTTACTGATTTTAATACAAATTTAACATTTTGCAAAATTTTTTGCTGTTTTCTCATTAGATCTTTTACAAAGGGAAAAAATAATAAATGATGTCAACCGATTTTGTGGTTGTGAAAAAAAAAGTAAAAAGAAGTGATGGCATATAAAATGCAAAATAAATTTAAATTAAGATTTAATGCCACTGACATACAATGTCAACACATCATATTTATGATTAGGGCATAGAGGTTTGATCAACATCTTTACATGTTATAAACAAGACTGCAAATCAAAGTTGAACTTCCTGGCTGACCAAGTCCATTTAGGTTATGATTAGTAATATCAGCAAGGCCTTTTTTTATTTTCTTCTAAAGGGCAATGGTCCTACTTCCACTGGCTTCAGGTTATTTTGATGTGAGGCTTTCATAGAGCTTTTTAATAATGATGTTCAGGTCTAATAGTTGTCGCCCTTATGACTCACCTGTCCTAATTTTCATAACCTTTCTGCCTCAAGGTACCCCTTACAGCCTTAAATAAAATTCTATTTACTGAGCATTTTTTTTTTCAAAAAGAAAAGCACTGTATTCCACATCTTATTCCATCATTCCCAGGTGACATATTCTCAAGGTACCCCCCTTCTCTAGCCCTGCGGTGGTGCTCTTTAGTAAGCATGTTCTCACTGGGAAGACCAAAGTAATGCTTGCAATACCAGAGAGACCACTGGAGTATCAGACACACTGCAGACAAAGGCCATAGTGCTTGCCATACTGAATACAGCCACAGTGCTTGCTATACAGAATACACAGAAGCTGATGGTGGTATTAGCTCTTCACAAAGACTTCAGCATTGGTGAAAAGAAAAATAGTTCAAGAAAGCCAGGTCTAAAGTTGAATTAAATTGATGGAGTACCTCCTAAAAAACTTACTGACATAGAGGCTATATTTATTATTCTGTGGCAGTCCTTATCAAGTAAAGTAAGTATGGATATACCTTTATATTGTTATTGTAGATAGCTTGAAACTTTTGGAAAAAACTCAAATGTCTTGATATTTTGCAATAATGGTACATGGTGAGGAAAACATGCGTTTTGGCACTTTTCTGGAAGCCAAGATGCATAGGTTCTACAATCTCTGAAAAGCAAATGTTTTTACTGGAGTTCACGCTCTGCTTGTTCTGAAAGGCAGTGAAATGATTTTGCAGATTTGATGTGGACAGTTTTCAAATAATAAGCTACTTCATGTTCATCTATCTAAGACTTGAAATGATTCTGCAGCTTTGGTGGAGAAAGAAAGTAAACCTATAAGCACAGTTTCAGTAATTGCCAACCTCTGTAGATGTACATGTAGGTAAGCCAATCTGCTGAACACTTTTAAGTTCATGGTAACATTTCAACCACAAGGAAACCAAAACCTTTAAAAAATGATCTCATTTCATAGTTTTGCAGTATGTGTGTTGTAAGAAAACAGAAGTATAAAATGAACAA